GTGACCAGTGGGTGCTGGTTCCCTAGATGTTACAGAAAAAAAAAAAGTTTATATACTGAGAACATGCTCAGAGAAGCTCAAACAGAAGAAATAAAGTCTGTTTAGGCAACAGAATCTTGAATTGAAAAGAAAATAAAAATCAAGCCCCAGAATTCAATGTCTGAAGTTCCTGCGAGCAAACCAAGAGCGACATGGGTACAGTGCTGGTGTGCCACAGTTAAAGCAGCATTGATATAGCACAGTGCTAATCAACGCTTCTTGTGGGGAGAAAAAAATAAAACAAAACCCCCCACACCCTCCAAACTCGATGAATAATAAAAATATATTCCAGCCTGCACTTCCCCAGGATTACTGGAATCAGTTTGTCCCCTCAAAAATACTCCTTCCTTTAAGGAGTATTTGATGAATGAAGTTAACCTTGTGTGCTCCTGCAGCTCCTGTCAGGATCATGCTACGCACTGTGCAAACAGAGCAAGAGACAATCTCTTCCCTCAGGGTTTTCCCTGCTCTTTGAAGGTAAAGTGTGGTGATTCGGGTTAGCAAACAAATGAAGAAAAGAAACAGTTAAGGATGATGAGCACTGGATAGCTGTTCATGTATCAGCAAGCTATATGGTAAAACTGATTAAAGGCTACTGAGGCTTTACCTCTTTCATTTGTCTGTAAAATCAGAAGAGATCATGATGGACACCTGGTTTGTCTTCCTTCTATACAAACTCCATTTCGCTCTGCTCCTGCAGTGAAAGGGATTATAGTTTCTTGTGATATTAATTATTGTTGCAGTTGTTAACCCCTAGAATGGGAATACTTTATTTAGTCCTTCCTCAGGGACTTTCTGGGCAAATCTCTTTTTAGACTAAATGTTCAAATTTAAGCACTTGACACCAGTAAAGAGAAGGTTTAAAAACTCTTCCCAGCTTATACCTAACACTGAAAATATTTATGTCTCTAAATTCTTGTAATACTACTAGTATCCAGTGATCATGAGAAGTTCAGTGGTGTCAAGCACCTGTATCAGCCTGCAGATCTGCACAGTCCAAAATTATGTTACCCCTCTGTGCAAATTGGGTTATACAAAAATACTTTTCAAGGAGTGTCCACTGGAAAATGAAACCTCTGGCTTCATTTTTAATGAAGTAGGTCTCCATTGTTAAGAGTATACAAGAGATGGTCTAAGAGGCTGAAAACTTCTTCAAGGAAATTCAGGACAAGTGCTTCAGACATCCCCGGCTAAGCATGTGCTGAGATGGATAATGGGGAACTTTCATTCCTTCTTATTGAAAAGTTTCAGTTTACATGCAATATTTAAGGAGTCATTGAGTCAGAAGACAAAACCTGGGGAGAGAGCAACACTGAAGTCTAATGACCATGCACCCCAGGGAGTGCATAGGAATTTCTTGTTCCAATTTTTTTAACTTTTTTTAAATACCAGAGGATAGAGGTACATAGGAACCAAGAGGGATAGAAATACCATTCTTCCTTATTTCACAGAGCTGTTAAGGATGTGTGCAATCTCTCTCACTTCTCCAGGTCATAAATCTGAAAGTGTGCCATTTAAAGTTGAAGACATCAAGGCTGAGATTGCAGAAATGCTCTCATTTCTCAAATGGCTAACAATCTGGCACTAAGAGTCACTCCTGAGAAGTATCTGGGCCTGAATATAAATTTCTAGCCATGTTTTCTATCCTGCTGGAGCTCTCCAATTATTTAGCAGCTGTAAAAAGGAGAGATGCATACTCTTTCTGCTTTTAAAATAAAGACACACCTCCTTGCTTGGACTAGGCCTTTGGCCTCTATTTTTAATATCAGGAAAGGGGTTTTTCTCCACCTTACTGAATGTGTCTTAAATATATATTTTAAATAAATGTAAGGTTCTTGGACACCATGGCAATAAGCCTACATGAATGATTCACATGAAACGATACTATTAAGCACTGATGAAGAATAGCAACTCTCGGAAGGATATCTCTATCAAATCAAAAGTTAAGTGGAGATCAATCTATTATTGTCCTGGCTAATCTTAGATTAGTACAATACAATAAGCATTGCACAACAAATACAGGATAAAACTTCCTTTAAAACAGTACAGAGTGTGGGTATATGTGCTGCTGTCTAGCCCTGTTGTCTTTGTAAAGAAATCTGAAGACCATGAGAGAATTCCTACCCCTTTGCATTATTTTCCCCAGAGGGAGCAGGAGGCGAGTGAGTGGGTGCAGACAACACAAGAGGAAAACGAGCAGGATATTATCTGGGAGAGAGCTGAGGGCCTGGAATTAATTTCAGTCCTTGACCTGGGTGAGACTAAATCTGTAGATAAAGGTTCACAAGTTTTCCACAGACATTTTAAAAAGAAAATAACTGGGGAAGAGGTTGGGCAGTGGGAACTGTAGAAGAGGAAAGATGAACTTACTTAGTCCTAATTTTATGGCTGTTGGTTTTATGTTTATGCCTGGTGTTCATAGAATTTAAGGCCAGAGGAGGCCTTCAAATTAATCTTTTGGGCCTTTTTCCCTATGTGCAATACTGGATTTTTCCCAATAATTCCAGCTTTAGACCTGCAACTGCTTTGAAGAAAGGACACAGGCTGACTGCCCTGTAAGTGCACTGTTGTGCTGTTTCCAAAGCAGAGTCCTGGCACTTGGTATCTTAGTCCAGGAGAATGGAGTGCCAAATCTCCTGCTGGTTTTGTTCTATATTACTGTATTTTATGCCATCAGTGACATTTCAGGTGAGAGTGAACATTACTTTCTTCTTTTCAAAGGCACCTGTTTTCAGACTGATGATGGCTGGAGAAGCACAGGCTGTTTTTTCCTCACCTGTCCTGCAGATGAGTGGGCAGCCTTTCAAAAAAAACAGGATCACACCATGCAAATAGGTTTCTCACAGCAGGATGGAAAATAGCATTTGAAAGTCAGTGTCTGTAGGCTGTTCTCACAGGTGCAGTAATATTTGCTCCAGCAATGTCAACCCTCACTGTGCAGAAGCCTCCCTTAGCCTGTGCTTCTGAATGGTTTTAAGCTATTACCACATGTCAAGCATATAACAGTTAACGAGTTGTTATAAGCACCACATGCTAAATCCATTCAGCTCTGACAGCTAGGGCAATAAAGGCTATACTTTGGAAGGGAGACTGATGCTGCCTTCTGGTCCTTGCAGCCCTTATTATCGAAATATGCTTATGATAGAAGTATTACATATGCAATTACCAGAAAAAGCATGTCCACAAACTATTTTTTAAAAGCTTTACTTGATTTCTTTTTTATATTACAGGATTGTAAGCATAAGATGGTGCTTAGGCTCTTCAGAAGGTTATTTATTATAGAAATTTGAATAGCTTCTTAAAGCTTTTGAAATAGATTACTCCATGACTGCTATGGTTAGGATAATGTCCTGCAGAAATCAACACTCATGTTTTTCAGTGAGCGTTTCTCCCCAAAGAATGTAAGAATGATAAGGATAAATCCTTCAAAACAAAAGGGAAATCTACATAATTTTCCTACATCACTGAGTTTTCAATAGAAAATATACTTGAAGAATTTAGGTATCTTGGTAGCAAGAACTCTTTGGAAGGCAGCTGTTTAACAGGCAGAATATGTGTAACCATTTTTTGGTAGGTATATGGAAAACTTTCTTATATACTTTTTTTTTCTATGTCATAAAACATTAAAACCTATAATATTTCATACGGTATGACTATTCCTTTCCAATACATAAGATTATGACCAGTGATATTTGAAATTCCAAGTACGTCTATTTACAATGCAGTTCCTTATTCTTTTGGAAAATCATGTCAATCTCTGTTATTTTGGTAAATCAACCTCTTTTCCTTCAACAAAGACAGCTTTTACTTAAATCAGTGAGATGCTTTTATTCTTCTGTAGCAGTAATGAGGTTTTCTGTGTACATTTGTGCATGTGGCCCTCCTCTGGACTTGAATTTTATATTCACTCAGATATCCCACATTTGATTTTTTGCAATCTCTTTGTAGCTGAATGAAGTTTGACAGTTTCAAGACTTAAGGTCTTATGGAAAAAGAAGTATGACAAAAGTAGATATGAGTGGAGGTTTGATCTCCAGGCTGAAGATACAAGGTCAATTTTAATATGCATCTGTCCTGGGTTCAGCAGTAGCAGTCATTTTTCTCCTTCTTGGTAGCTGGTGCACTGCTGTGTTTTGACTTTCAACCTGGGAACAGAGCTGATAACAATGATGTTTTGGTTTGGCAAAGGACTTTGTGAGCCTCATGCTCTGCCAGGGAGGAGGGGAAGCAGGGAGGAAGCAGAGAACAGGACACCTGATCCAAACTGACCAAAGAGGTATTCCATACCACAGCACGTCATGCCCAGGAAGTAACTGGGAGTTACCTGGAAGGTCTGGGAGACTGAAGGGTTGGAGGAGATATCAGTTGGTGCTTGGTTGGGCTGGGGGGCGAGTTATCGGTCAGCTGGTGGTGGTTTGTGTTATATTCTCTTCCCTTGTTATTTCCTTTATCATTACTATTATTGGTGGTAGCAGTAGTGATTTATGTTATATCTTAGTTACTAAACTGTTCTTATCTCAACCCATGGGAGTTGCATTCTTTTCAATACTCCTCTCCGTCCCTCCAGGAGCAGGGAGAGGGCAAGAAGGAGGGGGAGTGAGTGACAAAACTGTCTGTCTGGGTTTAAACCACGACAGCATCCTGAGACCCAAATAGTCAGCATTCTAGGGATTGAAAGAGGTGACCTGAGCCACCATAAAGATGGAATATGCTGTATTTGTTAGCCTTTGCTTATTTGGATCTGACTGAAAAATAAATCTAGTTACACAAAATATATTATTGAAGAAAAAATGGAGCATTTAAGCTTTCTCAGAAGTTATCCAGGATTTTATCTTTGAACATATGCTTCTCAACATCCCAGTATTTCTACCACTAACATATTTTTGCAAATAAGCAATATTGAACAAGAGCTTTCACCGTCAATAAAGAAAAATAAATACCCATTATCAGAATAGAATATAGAATAATAGAATCATAGAATGGTTAGGGTTGGATTCACCCTTATGTAGCAAAACAGCATTCAGATTCATGAAGGCCAGACTCATAATGTTTAAAAATGACACTTTCCAGCCATGATCACTCCACAACTGAGGAAACTGTAGTCTGCAGATGGTTCTCCTAATCCAAGATAAGTGGCATGTTGAGTTTCTTACATTTCAGTTTATGCAAAGGGATCAGTCTCTGGCACCTGAAGGAAAGGGGAAGCCTGGATCCAAGCTGTTCTGTTTCTGGTTAGTTCTGCAAAATCAACAGAAGCCTTGTATTTTCCCATCACAGAGGTGCAGGGACAGTACTACAGAGGTGACTTTTTCAAATATTTTTCACTGCTCTCTCAGTGATGCTGATATTCCAGTTCTAACGTGAGCTGATCATTCGCAGCATTACACTGCACCTGGGTTTGAGGACTGGGAGGGGGTAAGGTGGAAGGGGAAGAAACTTGCAAAATATGCCCATGGCAAAATAAACAAGATACACACTGTTACTCAACAAATAAGAGAAAAAAAGAAAAAGAAAAAGAAAATCTGTTTGGGTGATTTCTGGAGAAAAAAAGGTGCCAAAGGACTCGAGCTGTGTATTGCACTCAGTAAGGGGTGGAAAGAGTGCAGAAGAGTGGCAGAGGATGGGGAGGAACAGCAGGACAGCATTATACTGTCACCATAGTTTCTTTGCCTTCCAAAGGCTACAGACATAGTAAAGTATCTTTGTGCCTGAGCATGTCTCTGCTGTCTCTCTGAGGGTAAAACTACATTACCCCCCTTCCTTGTTTCATTAGGAACCCTGAATAACCCTTTGGTTACTCAGTCATCTCCTCACGCCACCCGTTCCTGCGACCAACTCAGGACTCACCACCAGATTCTTTGAGATGATTTTAGTATGATATCATCACAACTGTTGTGGTATCTGATGTTTTCTTTTTAACCACAAATCCTGGGTCCCTGCCAATCTAAACTTTCAGCTGAGAGGAAAATTTCCCTGTAGTTACAGAGAAAAGCTTAAAAATGTGACCTCAGTAAACCTTGCAGGTTTTGAAACAAGCTGATAAGGACAATTCTGTTGCATGAATTAAAAAAATAAAAAAATAAAAAATATTTTTAAACCAATCATTTCTGAGTGTTTGAGTCATTATTTAGATTGGGTTTTCTTGCCAGTACATATACTTTTACTTTTTTTGAAATTAAAGAGAATTTACTTTTGAGAGTGTGACTTGGTAATAGTACAACGTAATATATACCATATATTATATACAATATATATTTTTGTAAGACTATCATACATTTAACAGTAAAAACTTAACAATATAATACATTTAAAAATAAAAACCTCTCTCATGATATTTCTAAATGGAGGACTGCAACCGTGCTGTTGCAGAAGTAGCTTTGTTGTTAGAATTGCCCAGCAAAGCATATAACAAAGTCCTGTTGTGCAGAGGTTTCCAAAGACCTCATGAGTGACATGAGTGTTTTAAGAAAAATACTCTCATACTGCCCTGCTCACAAGAAGCTATCAATCAAGTGTGTTTACATGAAGAACTTCCTGGTTTATGTGAAGCAGTAGAGAAAGCTGTTCTTAGAGACTATGTCTGTAAGGCTAATAGAAAATTCACCTCAGCAGGAGAAAAACTGCTTCGATTTACCCTAGGAGCAAGGAAAACACTTCTAGAACTCTGATTGCTGTTAGTGAGATGGTTTGAGCTTTTGTATATTACAAAGCACTCCCTTGGGAAGCCAGGTGGGATCATTCACACATAGAGACACAAAACTGTCTGGCTTTCCTGTCCTCCATGACCTGGAGCAATTAAATAACTGGTCTTCTGTTTTCTACCTTCTGGAAAGCATCTGTAACCTTGTCTCCCAGTACACATTTCTAAACTGTACTATATATTCATTAGCTATTGCAGCAATTGTCAACTTCCTCAAACATCACAAGGGCTGTGAGGAATTCACCTGTTCTTATACGAGAGCCAGCTGTCACAGACAATATCCAAAGGAATATTTATATGGCAGCTTCACAGCATTCATTTTTCCTGCATCCTTTCCCTTAAAAATTCAGGAGATGTGATACCTGGAAAGGCTTAAGCAGGCAATAAGGGATCATTTCTTTTCCATGCTGGCTTTAAATATTGTGCTGGCATTTCCCCAGATAAATAAATAAAATTGCATGTGTCAAAGTTAGTGCTCATTTCAATTGATACTAGTGTGTAATATGAGAGAAAAATAATTTATGTTTTAGTTCCAAAGATTATTTTGGACTGGAAAAGGAACAGGGCTCTGTATCTTTAAGATAAGTTCTTGATTGAGGAATTATTCATTCTTTCTGTGGAAAAAGGACACTGATTATGAAATTAATGCCATCTTATGCAACCCAGTCAAGATCACTGAGTTATGCCTTATAAAGGTTTCTTTGTTTTTTTTGTAAAAAAGTGAGTTTTCTTATCCAGTGGTAAGAGCTAGAAATCTGTTCCTCACCAGAAATGTCAGTCCTCAAACCTAACATTTTCTCTGGAAGAAAGCTGGCTGGATGCTGAACCTCCTTAAACTCTGGATAAACGGACCTCAAGGTCAGAGCCTGTAGGGAGAAAGGCAAGACCAGGCAGGAACAGCTCCTCAGGGAGTTACTGTTTCCTTGTCATTTGTTGCAGTACAGCCATACAGGCTCTGGTAAGCAGCTGGTGAGACTGGAACATGTACCAGTGAGTTAAACTCGGGTGCAATTTCAAAACCTTGCCATGATGACTTTGGGCAGAAGGAAATGATAACCTGAGGTGCCATAGCGTGCCTGCTCACACGTGTTCTGGAAGTTGGTGTCTGATTCTGAGGCGACCTCAGTATAACATTTCACACAGGAATGCACTGCTCTTTTTATCTTCCTCCTTGCTGGCTGTGTTATCTTCAGGCTAGCCTCAGTCTTTAGTGAAATACTGCAGCCTACCAGCTCTCAGCGTGTGTTTAAAAGAGAGGCTAGGTCTTCATTATTTGAATAGGTGATTGTGCTTTTCTGTAATCAAAGCTAATAGAAGCAGCACTCTCTTAGGAGAAAGAAAAATGGCCTCATAAGATAGAGAGGCAGTTACTGGCAGATTTTTAAGAGTTCAGGATTCTCTAAACATATGCATCCTCAATAATAATCCACCCTCCTCTTCCTTTGGTTGCCTTGGGTACTTTGAATTCCCTTCTAACTGAGAGGATCTGGAGGAGGACAGTTCTGCAGCACCTTGTAGATGGATCATAAAAATTTTGCAGACTGCAAGTAGGGAATCTTCTCATTCTGCAATTGGTCACAGGAGCCACTTCTTGCATTTTTGACAATCCACTATTTCATTTTCGGACAAATTATTGTCAGAGGTTGTTGCTAACTTATTAGTAAATACTCTGTATGTGTGTATGTGTGTGTTTGTGTCTCAAAGACGCATATTTGCTGTACATATGTACAGAAATTCCCATTTTGTCATAATCTCAGGGTATAATAGTATTTGGCTCTGATATTACCCTCAAGCCTTAATACGTACATTTCAGAGGGGAATTTCAGGCCTTTGTGAGATGGATTCCTAGGAGGCAGGTAGGCCAAAAATTCTACTGTCAGAATAAATAAAGGTGTCCCCAAACCTCCACAATCACTGTTGCATGTGCCATTAGTGTTTCAGCCAAGGTGCAGATACTCTGGATTACCATTTAGCTCTTTCCAAGGACTTTCATTTTTAAAAGTAATTAGACATAAGCTTCAAGAAACCTCTTTTAACTTTATTTTTTGCTTAAGTGATAAAATACAGCAACCAACTTAAATGTTACTAGCCAACTCCTTGGCTAATCTTTGCTTACTGACATTTAGCATATTGTCCTCTCTCATTAAGAACTTCTAGCATCACTCTTCAATTTGTAGCCATCAGGAAAACATTCTGTAAGTTGAGCCATTTCTGTCCTTTTAACATCCCAATTTTTCTGTTGGTGTCTGCTCCTCACTTCTTTTTCCTGTTATAAACAAGTTTTCCTATCTAGAAGCTATCTGTTGTGTACATTTTTATACAGGAGAAAAGTGTTTTGCTGTAGCCATGCTTCTCTGGGTTTCAATGTGTGAAACATATTGAGGAACCATCAAGACCCATTCAAGCATTTAGAAAGAAGCCTAAGGGCTAACAAAAAGAGCTTTTAATGTCAGAGAAATCAGTCCTGGGCCTGTTTTTCTAGTCTTCACAGTTTTTTAAATGCCAGCCTATTACACTTACATGTTGGTAGCTGGATGACGGCCAAAACCATGGGGGGCCATGAGAGCAGATAGACTGTCATATTGTGAGGTGATCAACCAATTTATGTTCTGCCAGTGACTCACTAGTTTCAGAAGATAGTTTCTCTCTTAGATAACGAATAGGTCAGATATGAATCAGGAAAAAGCATTAAAGGCATCATCTTTTAGCAAAAAGCTTTATATTTCATTTGCAATCTGTATTAGAAATGTTTACTTTGGAAAGATGAGGGATAGTGATGCTTGAGCAGACTTCTGGTGCCTGTTGACTTGCCTTCAGCTGACTGAAGCTCAGTGTTATGAATGTATATCCATGTGTATAAATAGAGATGTATATAGATCATCTAATCTATTATATAAATGCAGTCTAATAGAACTATTCCTGCTTTTAAAAGGGACTAAAAATTACTTACCTTAAATTCTGTCTCTCCCTTTATTTTCCTCTGTTTGACTTTCCTTTACCTGTGCTACAGGACTCAGAAGTACAACAGATCCTAGCTGCACCAGTTCCTCAGGAACCTATGGTCATAACCTGTAAAAGCTTTATCATGTCTACAAGAAGAATGATCTAACAGGAGAGGCTCTGTGGACAGAAAAAGACTGTGTAAAGACCTTTGTCTGCACTATAATCTCTTTCCTCTAGACAAATTTAGTTTGACCCCATGAACTGATTGCTAATTAGCAGCTAGAATTTATTGTGATCCCAAAGTGCTTCTTCCAGTTCAGTTTTACCTAAAGGGAACAGAGTTCACGTCTCCTGAGACCTCTGTGATATGCAAACCAAGGTGCAGTGAGTAAGAACAATTGCAAAATTCCCTTGGAAATCATCTTCCTGAGCCAAACTAAGACAATCATGTGCATGTACTCTTAAACGCCTGATCTTAATAGAAGTGTTTGGCCTCTAGAATGATATACACAGCTCTGGTTTGGGTGTCTAGGGGTATCAAGAGATCAGCTGCTTTGCTTTCTTCTCCTAATGTAGGATTAACCATATTTTTTTCTGGTATTTTTCAGCTTGCTTGTAAAGACCTTAAAAAATGGGGACTCTTATCACCTCCCATGTAATGTATTCTAGTTTGTTCACTCTTGGATATTGCTTTACTTTACAGACCCTTCTAATAAAGATTAATCTGCATCTTCCTTTACATTGTTAAGTTCACTGTTTCTTATCCCATCCACCAGACACAAACATTTTAGTAATAACCGTTAGCATCCTTGAAGACACATTGCCTAAAGGGACTTTTATTTGCATATACACGCATACATATACAGGTGTGTATAAATTACATATAAAGCTCAAACAATGAACATAAAATTTGTGAACACTCCCATCCATCCAGTAAACAAGCAAATATGTGGAATATGGGAATTATTTCATTGCTTGTTGAAAATAATTATGTCTCCTAAATTTCAGTTATGTATCAATCATCAGCAAGGGTCTATGATTCCTTGCTGTGTTCCTAAGAAACTGCTCTTAATTTTGCATACCATTTTTTAATAAGTTTTTTGTTGAGAGTCATATTAAAAAAAAATAAATCCAAAACCAACCAAGCACTCCCCTCCCCCCAATAAAACAGTCTAAAAGCCAAAAAAACCCCAAAACACACTCAATTCTTATATTTGTGGCAGGTTTAGGTTTTTTGTTTGTGAGTGGGGGTTTTTGTTGGTTGGTTGGTTGGTTTGTTTTTTAATGTGATCTAGCCTTATTAGATATGATAAACAGAATGGCGTCTCAGGAGGAAGAGTGACAACCTAACTAACTGTTTTTCAAGTTTCTCCATGGCAGTGCTGGGTAATAGTGGGTTTCTAAACATCCTGATCTTTCTAGTGTATTACTCAGAAAATTGCACCACCTGCAGCAACACAGATTGGGGTAGACCGACATTGTGCTGGTTTATATAAATGCAAATCTTGGCATCATTTGTGTGTTTCAGTGGTTGACACAAAACTTGAAGCTGCTTGTGGGATCCATGGGAACAAATGAGCAGAGAACTCGGTGTTCAGACTCTAGCCCTTTGGTTCCTTTACTTCTTACACATGAAATAAAAAGAGGTTTGATATTGTTTTTAATACTTTAGACTGTGGTTTATTAAAATTATTTTTTCATTTACTAAAAGATGATTCAATAGGTCAGCTTATTATTGACCAGATTTAGTATTCTATATTGTTCCTCTAATGGCTTTTAATGCAATTAATTAATTTGTTCTGCTCTCTGCCAGGAAATGAACACAAGGGGTGAAAAATATTCTACTTGAAATTTGACTAATTAAAAGGAAATAATTTAGTGAGGTTATTTGTTTGTCATAGTTTATTATAGGGCAACGAGGGGAAGGCAATCCAAATAATGTCTAGCATATAACGCTTTACTGAAGGGTTTAGTTTCATCCATAATCCCTGTATTATTTCTATGCTATTATGTGTAACCAGTCCAACTATAGCAATTTCCCAACTGACTTCATTTTTATTTAACTGAATTGCAGACAACGCCATGAGCTGTGTATTTCTCAAAACAAATATGAATTTTGTTTAATACCATGCCTTACAGAGTTAAGCCGCTTCACAGATGGCTAAATAACTGGCTAAACCTGCATTATAATTCTGTGCCAAGTGATAACATTAGTAAGAGGAAACACAGTAAGTTTGCAGCTGATAATAATTACAGCAGCTAGGAGACCAAGTGTTTCCTCCTTTCATTGCTGTTACAAATCTAATACTCTTTTAACCTTGCGCATGGATGTAAACATAATGGCATGAGAGAATGTTGTTTTGTGTTGCTCTGTTATACTGTAAGCTTTAAATTTCTGGTATGAAGAAACCAATTGAGGTAGAAAGGCAAATTCAAGTTCAAAAATAAAAAAAAATATATTAGGATATATAATAAAAGTATATACTTCACCTCCTCTGGCAAGGTATTACTGTCAGAAACAAAACCATCTGGTTGTTCTACAAAGTGATTATTAGAATAAGCATAGGTATAAATATGAAAGTAACTAGTTCAGGAGTGACTAATAGTGATTATTTTACTTTAGTGTTGCTGTACACATTGCAATTCTTTATAACTTCAGCTGCTGCATCTTACCAGTTTCATTAGAACTGCTAGACTGAATTCCGCTATGAATGGTCTCCTGAATTATGATATCTTTAGAAATCTTTCATAATTTAAATCACTTTGCCTTCACTAGCATCACTTCAACAATCTGCATGCTGAAATGCTGCATATACTTATGGATGTAGCAATTTTCATGAAGTTTTTGTTTTGGTTTTGGTCATGTAAAAAATAAGAGAATTTGACTGACTTCTGAAGCATAGTCTCCTTTCTGTATCAAAATCTCAAATATGTCCCTTTATTTCTCCATTGGATATACAAAATAATCTGGGTATCCCTGGTACAGAACCATAATTTTTCATATACCAAAAGGTCATATGCTATACCTTTACCAATTTTTAACCTCCACATGAAGTCACATGTTGGTATTTCTAGTAATTTATTTTCCAACCAAGTTTAGAAATATGAAACTGAACCAAAAATTCCAAACCCTTTTTGGCTGGACAGGTGCCACTTCTGAGAACACAGTCAGGGAAACTAATTGCCATCCTATGTTTGAACTGTTTTATATCAGACATTAAAATGAGTTTGATAAAATCATCAGAAAGCCTGAAATATTCATAGCAGCTTCAGTTTTGTTGTGCCTTCCTTTGAAAATCCACTGTTCCTTATCATCCCTGCTTTAGCGGAGAAGCTCTGAAGTGTGATTCTTCATGCACTGTCTTGTCTAGAAGACCTTACCCATATAATTATAAAGGTAATTCAAGGAAAGCTAGTAATGCAAATTGTCTTTTGTTGTCAAAAGAACAATATGTATCCAATTTCCTTTTTCTAGCATGGATTATCTGCCACTTTTTTAAACCTTCAACCAGTAGATACCTCCAAAGGAGGCTATGATGGAGGCAAGATGACATGCAAGTTTCAAAAGCAGACACCCCTTATTTCAGAGAAGAAAAATTAACCTATTATTATATTCTTTCATCATGCGAAGGATGGACCATGAACACTGAATCTTGGGGTAACTTTCTTTTACCCTCTCATACTCTACCTGCCATTGCTTGGAATTTAGTAGCTCAATCAAACAACACCCCTTCAAGTGACCACAAAATTCTCATACAAACGTAGTTTAACATTTTTTTCTGTCTTGTAAATATTCTGGAAGCATTAGCTTGTTTGCTAGCTGACTGCAACAGTACGTTTCCAGACAAATGACTGGATTCTGTCCTTTGACTAAAGCAAGTCCATGAGCTCAGCCTAAACAGAGAAGAGCAGAAAGATTTTTCCCATCCCAATTACTGCTTCTTGGTCTAGTCAACAGCACTTTAGTGTCTCATCCACCTGTTCTTTCTGGCTTTGGGAGATGAAGTAATATATATGCATGGAAGAAGTTTTGACTGCACATTAATTGTGGCCTGACAGACTTTGGCTATTTCTGCTGAGCAGTCCTTGATGTTTTAAGTGTTAAAACGTTCCATATAATTTTCAGTATTAAATGACGAATTTTAAAATTGTAACAGAAAATATGATTAAATATGGTATGTAGAAGCAAGTGAGATTGGAATGGAAACATGGGGAAAATAACATCAGGGAGTCATCGAAGTCAGAGATGGGGAAAAATGCATTAGGTCTTTTTCTCAGTAGGGCGCAGCATGAGACCCTATCACAAAGCCTATCCAGTGCAAGGGGAGACTGCACTTAGACTTCAACAGATTCACGTTTGAACTGATTGCAAAAACAGTAATGCGCATAGGAGTAGATCTTCAGCATGCTTCCCAATATAGATACTAGTGTCAGCCCATAAATACTTGCTTAATCAATGATTCAGTTTGTGTACCATATCTGCTTGCCTCACTGCCGACGGTCATCTGCTAGTGCAATTCAGGAGCAAAAAGGAAGAGGACTTTTTATTTGAAAGTAGAAGAAAAATTGTTTGGGGCTCAGGTGGCAACAGTATCACTTTGGACAGGTCTGACTTGACTCTAGTTTTGAGACACTGCTTAAGGAATATTTTATTGATCTAGCAAAGAATATTCTGTTTTTAAAATGTGACTTTGCTGGTTACATGAACAAGTGAATGCTTTAATAGGGAGGATACGGATTTTTAGGGTTTATAAGAAGTGTTAGCTGCTAAGTGAAAACAGCTTTGAGTAAATTCAAGGCAATTTGAAGGAATTTATTAACCTTTCCGGATATGTTCCTACCAATGGAAGTGGGGTTTCCTACTACACATTTACCACAGGTATGTGTAGGCTTACATAAATAGGATGGATAAACATCCAAATACTGTACCTTAGTTTGTTTCACATGTGTATAGTGCAACTGATTGAAAGACCAGAGACATAAATTTCAAGATCACTTTTGAAATTTTGATTAGTCTCCATATTACATTAGGAAGTTCTGTCTCACCCCCTGCCTTCTGAAACTGAAAACAATTAAGAGGGGAAAGATACCAAGAGGTATGGGGGGCTACCTATCACGTAAGCCCAGACTCATACAGCTCAGAAATGCAAACACCTATTCTATCATGGAATTATTTCCTGAAACCCTGTGGCTGAGGTCATGCAAGAAACAGTATTTCTGAACAATATAGTGCTCTGGTATTATTTATCTAATCTAATTTATCTGGGAATTTAACTATTTGTTTCTCAATAACATTTGTACCTAGAGGTATGGAACTTGGTGTTTATGCAAGGCAGCTACACCCAGGTAAGAAACAAAAAAAGAGCAAAATGAAATGAAGATGCAGCATATTTTCTCATTACCCATATTTTGCAAGAAAATAAATCTAACCTTTGAAGCGTTTTCTTGGATTGTGCTACTGACCTCTAAGAGACAAAGCAACATTCTTTTCCCTTTTGTCATGACTGTTCAAAGTCTTCTACCCAAACAGAGCTAGTGTTGCCACTCTGTTAATATATATGCTAGGCCACATCCAGGCAGCTGTCACCAGTCTGAAAACTAACACAGACCTAATTAACACCGTAATGGGTTTTCCACTCTTTTACTCTCTGAGTGACAGTTTAATAAGGAGCTCACAGTGATCCTATAAATCAGAACCAACCCTCATCTTAACAAGGTACAGCTAAAGTGTTCAAAAAATTAATTCTAAGGATTTCAGTATGTAATATTTCCAGTGGATAAACATCATTTGTTTACGCTACCTTATTTTATTATCTATATTTGACTATCATGCCATGGTTGTGTGCTGGTTTAAGAAAGATGCAAGTATTTACGAAAGGAATGTTAAGTAGAAAGAGTTATAACTCTACAGTTTATAAAATTGTCTAATAACAGGAAAATGTTCCACAAAAATAGTTTTGCACAGAAGACAGCTATAGAATCGGAAGCCTTTAGACCATCAGTAATCCTCAATTTGACCTCAATTTAGTACTTAATACGTAAATTTAATATCTGTAAAACAGCTCCATTGGAATTAATTGGATCCCTGTGCTTCAAATGAAATAACTTGAAAGTAAGCCACTGAGCACATGCTTGTTGACTTTTAATAAGGTCCATTTATGCTTTTGGGCGAATTAGGAACTGATCCAATAAAGCAATTGTGAGCATACTTTGAAGTAGAGCAGGTGTTTAAAAACCTCATTGAATTTGGATTTTAAGGACACACAGGATTAAAAATTATAGTTTGCTTTTAATGCAGATTGAAATTATAATTCCTCAGTACTTTAATTCCAGGATAGAAAAATGCCACACTTTTCTCAGGCCTTTGAATCCTTGTTATGTTTTCTTTTTATTTGTCTTTAATGGATAAGATGCTGAAATGGGGTTTGATATGGAACATAAGCCAAAGTAAATCAGTCTGTCTAGTTCCCATTCCAAGACCTCTAAAGTAATTGAAAGATGTGACCAAAAGGATGCATGGTAAGGTAGGAGAAAACTTAAATACTTTTTAAAACTAAGATCTGAACAGGATTTATTAAGATTAATAAATTCCTTGTTTTTATGAAGATGTCTCTGCTTATATATAGCTAAGATAGTTTTCTCTTTATTTCCATAACAGGGAATACTTGAATTATTTTTGAGGTTGCTGCAGTCCCTAAATTGTTTTCATGGATTTGCCTGTTGTGCCCAGAAGCATTTAAATCTACAGATTATAGGCAGTTTAGCTGTCACTTGTAGTTCTAGAAATCAAAGAAACACTCTTTTATCTGTTGCTACTTAGCCTCCTTAAGAGACAAAATCACCCTGAGTTCAATACTCGGGTAGAGCAGGCATGCACACTTATACCCACAGAAGTTCATTGTGCTGAACAAGTAGAGACAAAATGACAGTACGGGGAAAGCAAATAAATTGAGTAGAATTAAGTTTATTGTGAAAGCATATGAGAATTACATGGGGGATTATTATCATTATTATTATTACCTTTATAGATAAATGCAGAGTGTCTCAGAAGATAGAGTTCTCAGCTATAGCTGATACTCATAACTGGCACTAAAATACAAATGAAGAGAAACTGAAATATAAGAGATTAAAGTGGCAAAGTCTCACAAAATACAGAATTAGCCAGTTAATATTCTTGATCACAAATGTTTGTTGCAATTGTAAGCCAGAGCACGTGATGTCATTCTGACCCTTTAAAACCCTTAAATGAGCAATCATCAGTAGAAATGTTTAATAACAGAAACAACTCATGAAAAATGGACATAGAGAGACACTGAGCACCCTGCAAGTTCTTCCAATTAGTAACAAAACTGTAGGGCATTTATAAGGGAGAAATTCTACATATTATTTCAACCAACAGCAAAGAGCTCTGAGGCCATCAACTTGAAAGATATCTTGGGTATGAGTGAACATGACATTGTAATTTCATGACCTTTCAAACAGAGTGCACAAATACGGGCAGAAATGAAAACCATGGTTTTCAGAAAGTAAGACTTCAGTGAAATCAGAGAATTGGAAGGAAAGTTCATTTCAAATGGCTTCTCTGAGGAGAAGGTGAAAAGAGGACTGAGAAACTGTAATTACGATGAAATATCTAGTTGACATTTTAAACACAGAGAAGAACTGCATAGAAAATGGACATCAGGTCAAATTACTGAGGATGGGTGCACACAGCACTGCGATTAAAGTTTGGGTTAGAAAAACAGAGTGACAAAAGGAAATTGATAGAGGAAATGAGCTGCAATAGTAAGGCACTTAGTAGGTATTCCAGAGGTAAGATGAAAACAAGAGAGGAAGTTAGTTTACCCCTGCAGAGATTGAAAATGATTGATATATGATGCTAAAAATTCCTAAGCATTTAATTACTTTCTTCGCTCTCTCTAAAAAGCTCTTTGCTATCAGATATTACAATAACTAAGATCAGGCATGAAGGATCAAGAATTCGGCGTGGTATAGCAAGAAACAAATTGATTCTTTACTTAATCAGATGTTTTCAAACTCCCTTCATCTGATGGCATTTTTTTTTTTTCTAGAGCATTGAAAGAATTAATTGAAAGAAGCTCAATGTTAGGCTTTCTCTGAGATGTTGTGACAGATGTATATGAAAAAAAAGCAAAAGGCAAAAGCGGTGCATTGTTTTATAAAGGAGATGCCAGGAAATTGCAGAAATCCTGACTTCTGCTTCTGAAAAACACATGCAGCCAATATCTGTGAACACATTGAACAAAGCAAAGGGATGAATGATCACCAACATTTGTGTTAAGAATTAATCATGCCAAACCAACTAATTTCCTCCTACCCAAGATAAAGGCCTTATGGATGGAGGAGAAATAGCAGATGTCATGTCACAGTTGCAGTACTGTTTTCAACAAGGGCTCTTGTATCTTTTCTAGAAGGAAACTGGAAAAACATGGTTTAGGTGAAAATGCCACAGGTAATTTGGAAATTGAGCTATTTCCACTATCCAAAGAGTGCTCATTAAGTATGAGTCATGGTTTAAGCCCAGTCAGCCATGCAGCTTGCTCACTCACTAACCCCTGCCCTTTCTCCCCTCCCCGAAGGATGGGGAGGAGAATGGAAAGAATGTAACTCCCACGGGTTGAGATAAGATCAGTCCAGTAACTAAGGTATAACACAAACCACTACTGCTACCACCAATGATAATAATGATAAGGGAAGTAACAAGGGAAGAGAATACAACCGCTTACCACCCACTGACCGATACCCAGCCCGACCTGAGCAGTGATCTCCCCTTGAGCAACTGCCCCCAGTTTTACACCCTGGGCATGACATGCTGTGGTATGGAATACCTCTTTGGTCAGTTTGGGTCAGGTGTCCTGTCTCTGATTACTCCCAGCTTCCCCTCCTCCCTGGAAGAACATGAGACTCAAAAAGTCCTTGGTCAGAGTAAACATTACTGAGCAGCAACTAAAAACATTGGTGTTATCAGTGCTGTTCCCAGGCCAAAAGTCAAAACCGCAGTACTGTACCAGCTACTAAGAAGGAGAAAAATGACTGCTACTGCTGGACACAGGACAGTATGAAGGGTAACCAAAGTGAGAAAATTGTAATTATTGTCATGATATTCAAAGAAAAAAAAATCTTGCTGTTTTTCTAGGGCAAGTTATTGTATATAGACAGGAATAAGCAAACTAAGTCATTGGCTGAAAAAGACCTGAATCACAAAGAGAACAAGGATGAATGTTCTTATGCTGCTGGGGGGGGGGGGAGCCAAAAAAAAAAAAATCCATGCAGAAAAATTATGACTACTGCATTTGAAGCAGATTTTCTCTAGTGTCTGCATTACTGTGATAAGATCTTAGCTGTAATATTACAGCCATCCTTGTATACCACAGCAAAAAAAATCTTTAATCAAATGGATATTGTTTGGGATGAGTACAGATGCAAAAAAACTGACCTGCAGATAAGTATCAAAAATACTGGATTTTTTTTAACATGAAGAAGACAAAAGTGAAGTGAGGTGTACATTTACTTCAAGCATGTAAAAGAAAAAAAAACCTCAAAGTAAGAATATGACATTCGGTTTTGTTTTTTTTTTTTTTTTGTCTATGACAGACTATATTAAAATATTTGGCTTAATTTGCAGATGCTTTTGTGCTTTACAAATGATAATGAACGCAGGAATACACTGACTAAAGTGGTTATTGCAGTATCTGTCACTGGAGGTCAGATGAACTTCTCCATCAGTGGATAAACTAGGTGTGGGAGTCTTCTTGCCTGGCTTTAGATGTATGTCTGAGCTATTTACCTTGTGCACTGTACATTCAACAAAATTAAATGGGCAAACTAAATGACCAATTAATCTGGTCTGTGGTAGACATTTAGTGTGGGAAGAGATTACTTTATCTCCGGGATTGTTCTAACACTTAGGAGGATGTAGACAGGGAGACAGATGCAGACATCTGTACTCCAAATACCTAAAGCGGGGAATTCACCTCCTCAAGCCATTCCCAGGCTTGTCAGTTTGAGTGGCTCTGGTATACCCACCAAGCAAGTCCACACAGGTACTAGTGATATTAATGAAGTATCAATATTTCAGGTTGGGTACCAGGCATACTGCGGTTCTGTTGCATAGTTTAATGTAAAATCCCAGCATGGATCATCACTGCAGCAGCAAGGGAAGAACACAGCGCCTATGCTCAGCTTTTGCTCCAATGTTCAGTCCAAGTTTTGAACTTACTTCTTGTGTAGTGATTACACATATATTACTGAGCCCACAATAAATCAAAATCCTACACAAAAAGGAGTTGTAAAAATACAATAAAAATCTAAAATTTAGTTTTCTGTCTATCTGCTTGCCTTTTTGGTTCACTTAGGGCTTAATAGGGATTCCTTTTATATCAAAGAAAATTCAGATAAAAACCTCACATTTGTGTCTTTTACAGTTTTCTACAAACAGCAAGATTGGACTAACTTTCAGTTTTATGGCTGTAGTTCAGTAGTTCTGAAATTTGTCCATGTTCTTACATTTTGTCTTTTTAGATTACTATAGTTTGTTTGGACATATATGTATTGGATTGGATTGCTAAGGTGAGTAGCTGAATTGCTGAGGTGAGCAGCTCGAGAGACGCCTTGAACACCGGAGCTGGGGGAGATCAGCGCCCAGGAGCCTCAACTCAGAGCTGCGAGAGCCACCGAGGGAGCCTCAAGCCCTCGACAGGACCTGCCCCGTAGCCGGCAGCTCAGCTGACGCGAGCAGGGACTCACAGGGGGCGGAGCCAGGAGGGGCGGCACCAGCCCTGAGTGGGTAAAAACCTGCCCCAGGGAGCGCGAGCTTCCAGGTGTGCAGTGAGGCAGTTTGCGCGGGCAGGCGAGCGGGATGGTGAGCACTCGCCGTATGACCAGGGCCCGGTCTGGGAGCTCTGCTCTGGCTGCCCCGGCAGTGGCCACCGTAGGCACCCAGACAGAGCAGATGAGAGGGGAGGCTGCAGTGCAGAGCTCGGGGTGTAGAGCGTGCCTGCACTGGTCTGGTGAGGGGAAGGTACACAGTGGGCAGGGCTGCACCCTCTGCGCCCTGGTGGAGGCCCTCCTGCAGCAGGTGGCTGAGCTGCGGGATGCTATTAATAGGCTACAAGATGTCAGGAAAGCTGGGAGGAAGCAGGAATGCTTGCTCCTTGCCCAAACTGTGCAGGGGCCTCAAGCGTCCCCTGTAGTTATTGGAGGAAAGAAGGAGGTTGTTAACCTGGGAAGCTGGGAAATAGTAACAACAACAACAACAACAACAACAAAAAACAACAGAAAAAGGAGGAAGAGGACAATTAAAAGCAGGGGGCTTCCTACAAAATCTGTTGTCCCCACCGAGAACCGCTTTGCTGTCCTGTAGGGGGCTAATGGGGAAATGCACTCGCACCAGAAACAGCCGGCTGATGTACTGGCAAAGAAGATCTGTACTGGTGCTGCCAGGAAAAAGCGGCGGGTCACAGTAGTAGGGGACTCTGAAAGGAACAGAAGCACTGATCTGTCAGCCTGATCCAGTCTCAAGGGAGGTGTGTTGCCTACCAGGGGCACGAATGAGAGACATTGCAGAGAGGCTGCCTGCTCTAGTAAGCCCCACGGACTATTACCCACTTCTGGTGATGCATGTGGGTGATAGGGATATAGACAGTAGTAGCCTGGGGAACATAAAGAAGGACTACAGAGCCCTGGAAGAGGTGGTTAGGGGCTCTGGAGCTCAGATTGTGTTTTCGTAAATTCTCCAGGATACGGGGGAGCACCTTAAAAAAGCTAGGAGGATTGACCAGGTTAATAAATGTTTAGAAGGGTGGTGTCATAGTCAGGGATTTGGGTGTCTCAAGCACAGGACCCAAGTTAGCAGGCCATGTCTACTGGGAGCTGGTGGAGCTGGTCTCAGTTTTGGTAGGAGGCTTGCCAGGCTGGTCAAGGAGGCTTTAAACTAGATGTGTTGGGGGAGGGGGGCATCATTCCATCCCAACACACCCAGTCAGTTGCCAGCACCTATAATAAATGCTCAGAGCAATGTAGAGATATTCCAGCTGCTCCAGGCAATGAGCCGGCTTTATTTGGAGCTCGGCTCAGATGCCTCTATACAAACGCCCGTAGCATGGGGAACAAACAAGAGGAATTAGAGATGTGTGCATGTCTACGGGGGTATGATATAATAGACAGCACAGAAGCATGGTGGGATGTCTCATATGACTGGAGTGTTGGAATAGAAGGTTACAGGCTCTTTAGAAAAGACAGGCCTGGCAGGCAGGGTGGAGTTGCTATTTATGTTAGGGATAGGCTGGAAAGTACGGAACTGTGCCTGGGAGCAGGTGATCAGTCAACAGAGAGTTTGTGGTTCAGGGCTAAAGGGAGAACAGCTATTTTTGTGGGGATCTGCTACAGACCGCCTGATCAAGGAGAACCTACAGATGAAGCACTCTACCGACAGATAAGAACAGCCTCACATTCACATGCCCTTGTTCTCATGGGGGACTTCAACCACCCTGATACCTGTTGGAGGGACGGTACACCCCGGCACAAGCAATCCAGGAGGTTCCTTGATTGCGTGGAAGATAACTTCCTTCTGCAAGCAATAGAGGAGCCAACAAGGAGAGGTGCCATGCTTGACCTCGTGCTCACCAACAGGGAAGGGCTTGTTGGAAATGTGATGCTCCAGGGCAGCCTTGGATGCAGCAATCATGAGATGGTCAAGTTCAATATCTTCAGGACAGTGAGAAGAGCATGTAGCAAGCTCACTCCCCTGAACTTCAGGAGAGCTGACTTTGGCCTCTTCAGAAACCTGCTTAGTAAGGTTCCATTGGACATAGCCCTAGAGGGCAGGGGGACCCAAGACTGTTGGCTGATATTCAAGGATCACCTGCTACAAGCTCAGGGGTGTTACATCCCAACTAAAAGGACGTACACAGGAGGGCCAGGAGACCTCCTTTGATGGATTAGGAGCTGCTGAGGAAAATTTGAGGGAGAAAAGAGGCTTATAAAAAGTGGAAGCAAGGACAGGTGGCCTGTGAAGAATACAGGGGTGTTCTCCAGGAAGCTAGGGACCAGGTTAGGAAAGCTAAGGCCCAGTTAGAATTAAACTTGGCTAGGGATGTTAAGGATAACAGGAAGGGATTCTATAGGTATGTAGTGAATAAAAGACAGACTAGGGACGATGTAGGTCCCCTGTGAAAGCTATTGGGAGAACTGGCTACCCTTGATTTGGAGAAGGCTGAGGTTCTGAATGACTTCTTTGCCTCAGTCTTCACTGGCAAAGGCTCTGACCACACCACCCATGTCTTGGAAGGCAAACACAGCGACTGTGAGAATGAAGAGCTTAGGCCCACTGTAGGAGAGGATCTGGTTCGAGACCACCTTAAGAACCTGAACATACACAAGTCCACGGGACCTGAAGAAATCCATCCA